TGCAGCCTGGTCACTCGTTCTGTGGGAGTGTATTTCACACCGTGTGAACAGCTACACGGGAGGATGTGCAGCAGTGGCTGCCCACGTCCTCCAAGGGAAATTCTGTGGAGGAGCCAAGGTGCTTGGGAGGGACGAGGAGGCAGCAGGACGTTTTCTTTCCCATCGCGCTGAATACCAAGAAGAGTGGTCTGTGATGTGCTCCCCATAATGTAACTGGCCTTCCAAAACTGTGGAGATAAAATCACTTTCTTCAGATGTCTAAGCTCAATGGTGAAAATTAAGGACAGGTTGCTTTTGCAACAGCTTTTTAGCTGTGCAGAAAAAGCAGTTGTCTTTAATAACATTATGTATATCACATGAATATCTTTGTCTAAGCTCATTTAATCAGAACACAGGTTTAATTTTGATGTTGTTATTAATACTGTATGTTTCAGATGAATATTGCTTTTGACATTGACTAAAATATATCAGTTTAAGGTGACTTCAAAATTTCCTAGATGAAATGCGCTTCTGCTGACTGGCCGAGTCAAGTGTTTGAATTTTCTCCCTTATTTCATGAAGCAAGATTGTTGTATGTAAACATTAGTAATATTTTCTCAAAAGTATAAAAGAAACTCCCTTAGAATACTTACCTGAACATTTCATTTGGGATATTTATTTACTTTATTTTCTAAAAAATCCTGTATCAAATCTTTTGTATACTGCTTTGAGAAGTATTTTACTGTATACTTTTGAAATGTGGTTTACCACCAAAAATGGTGCTAGACTCATGGAGGGGAGAAAAAAAGTGTTATCAATAAATATTATGACACCAGGCACGTTAATATGGTAATCGTATTTAAGGAGCAGGCAGTGCAGGAGCAATGATGTTTTTATTTTAAATGAGAATCTTTTAAATCTTTTAAAATTATTTTTGACAAGTATGTATGGACTAGAGTAATTAAATATTCTGCAGGTAATTGTAAAGCATCATCAAAGTATTGTAATGTAAAACTACAATATAGAAATAGTTATTTTTGTAGAACAAGAGGAAAAGATATGTTGGTTGAATATAAAGTATTAAGAAGTTGTCTTGGGGTTGGTTGTTAAGGCCATCCTTGTTGTCCTAGCATGAAAGGAGGAAAGTTCAGTAATGGTTTAAGTACCATTAAATCCCTCCCCTTGCTTTATGGAAACTCAACTGTAGGCATTTCAGCATTAGCCTAAACAATGGTTTTGAATATGTTAAGCCCCTAACAATTAGGGAGCAGTTTGGGGCATTGAATAATGTGGAATGATGCAATTGAACCTGACAGCTTCAACAGTCGGCCTACTCATGGGACCTGAAAGTTGTTCACACTTGGTTTCATCTCTCATCACATGCTGAGTATTAAAACCTTACTGGGGTGCAGCAGAGACAGCAATGGGGCCTGTTATCAGAAAATACTCCATAGCATAAAAGTTGAAAAGAACAGGGACCGGACATGCCCAAAGGGTCTCCTTTGGAGACCTTTCTTAAGTAATAGTATACAGCTTCTTTTCTTTTTTTTTTCTTTTTTTTCTTCTCTTTTCTTTTTTTTTTTTTCTTTTTTTCTTTCTTTTTGATTTAATTTTGTAAGGATCTGTTTTCCCTGTAAAATTAAGCTAAATATATAGTTAGGCAAATTTAGGAAACTTTTTATTCATACTGCTAGGGAAAAATACTATTTTGGCATGATGTAGAAATGTAATAAACACGGTGTATTTTAAGCATTTCACAGGATTATTTTCATATAGGGGTTAAATTTAGTTAGCTTAAATATACAATTTTTATATTAATTGAGGAACACTTTTTTGAGGTAAAGGAAGTGCTTCTAAAGCATTATTCTTATTGCAGGCAGGTATTCCTTGAACGACCCTGTGTCTTCATTCTGTGCTGCTTTTGCTGCTTATTACTTTACTGACTTACTGAACATGCCATGTATGAAAGCAATATAGCACATACCTACAGATAGGCTTAAACCCTTCTGCTAAAATGCTTTTCAAGAAAACTTGCATTTTTTCAGAATAAATACTTCGCAGTTTCTTCATTAGTTCATGCATTTTCATCACATGTTGTATGTTGACTGCTTAGGGATCTGTTGAAATAAAGAATACTACAGCTTTAAAAGTGCTGCATTTCAGAAGATGTTTCAATCCTGTGACCTTAATATATATTGACAAGATGATTGCGCATTTTTAATAAATGCTTGCTGCAGCCTGTTTGGACTGCGAGTGAAACATGAAGCTCCTATTTCACCTTTAAATAATGTAGTGCTCCTCTACCGCCTCTGCTTTCCTGTCAGATGAAGCTGTCACATACATAAAACTTCTCAAATCTTTATTTTTTGTCTTACCTCCAGTTCCTTGAGCAATTTTATTAATGACTTTCCCCTCTGAGGGCTGTGCAGGATACCTGAGGTCAGGAGCACTCCTGCAGTTCCAGCTTGTTGTAGGGCACCTCTACTGGCCTGTTAAAGTGTAAACAGGGGTGAGTTTAGTGTGAACCACCACTTGTGAAAAAACGCAGGTTCTTAGATACTGTTTAAATCATGCTGAGTCTTTTGATCTATTAGCCCACTTAGCAAACATTGTTCAATTCCTTTGATGTCTTCTGTTTTCTGATGTGATGGTTACTCAACACAGGTTAGCAACTCAAGATTCTTAGATACTCTGAATTTAAGTAAATTCTTTAAGGTGTTTGTGCTTGCTTTGGTTCAATAAACGTGTGCTGATGCTAGATGCCTTGCCATTATAAGTTAATATGTAGTTGTTGTTAGACAGTTTTAAGTAGCAAATTACACAGGAGAGTGAGAGTAAAAACAGCAGTTTCTGCATAAAATGTGAGCAATATGCTCACTAGCATTAAGAAAGAAAAACCTGTTTTGTAGAAATCTTCTACAACTAAATATAAATGTATGTGTAGGTTTTTTTAAATTACATTCACAGCCTCAGCCATTTTATTTGCATTGAAAATGTATAGATTTATATTTTGCTGCTCTTATCAGATTTGGAAGGAAGTAATGGTTGTACCCAGAAATTACCGTTTTGTTAGGTTTTTTTTCAGTGATAGAATTTGACAAAAACGATGTTGTTGGGTTTTGTTTTTTTGAGAGGAAACCAGGAAAACAATTGCAGGTTTCTAGTGAACAATAATGGTTGAGTTGGAATTGTGCTATAGGTGTTTATTGAGGAAAGCAGCAGGAGTTGTGCAGTATTGCTTCCTCCATCAGTAAGTGTCATAGTAGTAATGTGCCGTATTTCTGGAGTTTGTTGGCATACCCAGGTAGGTGGAAATGCCTCTGTTTCTTTAAGGGTTATGACTAATTCAGATTAATTCTACTGGAGATGTGTAATTCAGCAAAGGAAAAAAAGAAGTCAGATGGGAAGTGAAACTTTGGGCCCATGTGTTGTGATCTTACACGTACCTTTAAAATGAAGAGTGAAAAAAATCATTTAAAATAATTTCTTGTTGCATTTTCTTGTTACATTGTGATAGTAGGAAAACTTAAGTATCAGGCACAATTTCTCACTAGTATATAGTAAATAAAGCATCATTGAAAACAGTTGTGTGAATTCATAAAAGTCCATTCATCAAGTTTAATATGTTGGCTGAAAGCCAAAACTTAATGGTAGTGTGTGATTCTTTCCAGAGACATAGTTTATACTCTGCAATATTTTGCTGTAATAACCAGTATGTTTCCCGCGTCTCTTGTGTGCAATTACACATGTCAAAATGTCCCACAAATTGAGTTCCTTACTCTTCACCTTTTTTTCCCTCATACTTAAAAAAAAAAAAAAAAAAAATCTTTTGTAAAGCTTGTTTACATTTTCTTCTAAGATTTATTTTAAAATTTGTGACCTCATAGGTTGTGTGCCTGTGATTATTTTTTTTCCCCTCTAAATATTACAATCTTGTATTTGTTCTGAAATATTTTTTTCTATTGGGCAAGAAAATGCAGAAAATGTCATCATCAGCGGGGTTGCTTTTTCTTTGCTGTGTGTCTCAAACTCAGCATTTAACATGTCTTTTCTTCGAAAGGAGAAAAAGTGTAAGCAGCCAAGGAAAAGGTATTTTTATTGCATTGGATTATGCAAGATTTTGGCCAGCCTCCTCAGCTTCATCTGTTTAAGGGTTCATTTTCGCTTGTTTGGCACAAGTCCCAGCAGAGACCTTCAGAATTGTGGTTAGCAACATGAATGAACACAAACTTTGGGAGCTCTTCAATAAGTAGAGCTGGCCAACTGCCAAAAATACAGTTCCTTATATGGGGTCAGGGCAAAGCCGTGATTCGTTGAGCCCCCTATTGTATAGAAAACATACTTGTAATGGCTGTTTGCGTTCTTTAAAATAAAAACAAAACAAAACAAAAAAACACCAGGCTTCCAAGCCTATCAAAATAGGAAGTAACAAAATAGTGTGCAGGTTTTACTAATGACGGCGCGGCGCAAAGGAAATATGGCTCTGTGCAGTTAAACTGGAGAGCTGAAAGTTGAACCTTTTGACCTCCCCAGCCAGCTTGTGATGTAAGGAACCCGAGCATTTGTGAGACATCTGTTGTCTACCTGCCCTTATTTTGTAAATGGTTTAATAAGATTAAATAATTAGTAGGATAACCACATGGTCGCCATGCTACTAAGTCCCAGCATGGAGCGTGTGCTGCAGGGTGGTGAGGGTGTCCTGCTGCATGCGGCCTCTTCCGAAATGCAGTTTTGCTATTTTTAAGATCTGCTATGGTGAATTTTTACGAGAAGATTTTTTTTATTGTTGTTATTTTTATTAATCTACCAGAGATAATTGTAAACCACACTGTAAGGCTTGATGTATTTAAAAGGTATTGCAATTCTATTTCTATACTCCCAGATGGAAAATAGTAACGCATTTGAAAGAAGAAAAAAACGTTTTTAAAGAATTGTGCGCTAGGAAAACTTCCCTAGCACAGCTTTAGCACCCTCCCTGCTCCCGTGTCTGCAGGGCTGAAGCTGTCGCTGTTCCCTTGCAGGCCAACGCGCTGCCCGGCTCCTCGCTCGGCCTGGCCCCGTCGCACCTGTACGGCAGCCGGCTCGCCGCCTCCTCGGCCGCGGCCGCGCTCGCCCAAGCAGGTAAGCGGCCCGCGCTGCTCCAGCCCGTGCTGCTGGCCGGGAATCAGCGCTTTCACAGAGCCTAACTTCTAGTTTTGGGATACACACTTGCTTATTAAATGTCCCTGTGTAGTTGTTAGTAAATTCTTGGTTGCCCTGAAGAAGAGCTGCGGTTGCTTTTCTTTTTTTTCTTTACCGTCTAAAATGTAAATGCTTCAGCAGAGCCATCAGCAGGCAGGGATGCAGCAGTGTCCCCTGTGACTGGCGTGATTGATGTGCCCCGCTCGGGCTCCTTGCTGGGCTCCGGCCTCTGGCGGGGGGAAGCCCTCAAACAACTTCCTCCGCGTCATTCCCGCAACGTTGCGCGCTGCAGATGCCGCCGCAGAGCTCGCCCGGCCCTCAGGAACCCAGCCAGCGTTTCTCCGCGGCCGTCGGGTGACATCCGGCCTCCGCGGGCGTTTTAACGAGTCCCGGCCTCGGCGCCTCCCCCTGGGACCTGCAGACACGTCCCGGGGTTGTTTTACTACCTGCGTCCTGCCCCGCGCGGGTCAGAGGTCGCGCGCCCCGGGCGGCGCGCGGGGTTACTTTATGGAGAGGCCACAGGGAAAATAACCCTTTTGAGCCCTTCCAAGCAAAACGCTGCCGTATATTTAATGAGGCCCTTTTTTTGGGGTTGTTTTACTACCTTTTTAGCAAGGGGCTTGCCTGTGCTTTTGCTTATAAATAGGAATTTGTGAGTTATGTACTTTCATAAAGTTTTCGGTAAATCTGTGGCAGAGCCCGTGCTTGTTAGATGGCAGCGGCAAGTTTAATGTGTTATATATTTTATGAGTTGGTTTGGGATGCAAAGTGCTTAAAAAAAAAAAAAAAAAAAAAAAAAAAAAAAGGGAAAGAAAAGGCACAAAGCCTCGGGATTTGCTGTGATAAGCATACAGATTAGCTGTCCGCAGCTGTGATTCATTACTTTCACCGTAGAAATTAAAAGTGGCTGAGGGGAGGGCACTGCAAATGCAAACCACACTTCTGTGCTGTAAAACTGAAAGGAATGAAAGAAGGGAACATAATCCATGGCCTGGTACACCCTCGGAAATGTGTAAGGACAACACCTTACACGCCACAGTTCAGCAGTCTTAAACTACCCACGTATTTAGTCTGTGATGCTGAAGAAGCTAAGATTTAAGTTATTTTAAAAATGCCTACGTCGGCTTTGAAACTCTGACCTAATAAGAGTTGATTTATCAGCTGTGAAATATTTACACTGCAGATCAAGATGTGGGAGATAACGGCCGCAGCCTTGCTGGCAGAGGAGGTTCACCCCGGGGAAGCCTCTCGCCACGGTAAGCGCTGTTTGCACTGCAGAGAGCAGGCGGGGGAAGCGTCTCGGCATTTGGAAACTTCATTATCTTTTATTATGTGTTATGTGTTTAAGTAGTATGCGTTTGTGTTTATATATATTTGAAAAAAAGGTCTAAATCGATACATTCAGATAGCTCCAAATAGTTTGAAACTGATCTTTATATTAAATGAGATTAGGTTTATAAGTTAAAGAACTTTACTTAAGATATGGGGGCAGCATTTAAAAAGATTTATGTATGTTCTTTGCCACATTTATTGATAATCTCCATGGATTTGTTGCCGTAATCATACTCTCATTTCAAACGTGCAGAAGGTCTAAAATCCCATAGACTTGCACATTACTAATAAGACTTTCCGAGAAAATAAACAGTAATAAAATTATAGGAACAATTATTCCCTTCTGCTTCCCTAACTGCTCCAAATATGCAGCAACTGTCTGTGGGGGGGGGTGAAAAAAAACTTTTCTGATGTACTTGACCTCTACTAAAGAAATTTGACATAGGAATTTTGCTACTAGGATTGTGCCTCATTATTTTGTTTTCATATTATTTGCTGTTAAAATCCCAAAATTGCTTTTAAAATGAGTTTGGGATTTTTTTCATGTATTTTAAGCAATATTTTGTATTTAGGACCTTATTTTCTGTACTGGATTCCTTATAAATTACATTGTTATTATTTAGGCAGTAACCACAGGGAATTTTATGTTGAAAAGGATTTTAGGATAGCTAAAAAAAAGTCTACAGTTATGCAGATGCAGCATTGTAACAATGAATTTTATTTTTACAGCCAAAGATTATCATAGTAATTTATAGAAAATATATTCAAATTAGATGATTTAATATACATGTGCAATTTAAATTAATATGCATGTGGTGTTGATCTGTATTATGTTCTTTAATTAAGCAAATGACTTATTGACTCGGATGAGCCTGTTCTTTATAATATGTAGGTGGTATTAGCGTTAAAGTTTTCTAATGCTTGTTACTTCTAAAAGAATAAAGAATTTACAAATTAGTATTCTTTAAGTATATATATTTACTTTAACATAAAAATCTTTAAGTGTGTACATGCATCTGTCCATACACACGTGCATATACGTGTGTGTGTGTGTGTGTACACCTGCACACACGTCCATCACTAAGTTGAGAGATTTTTGCAAAGGGAAGTGCTCAGAGCATAGGGAGGGCGAGAACCTTGATTACATTGGCACAAGAGGTTTGTCTCTTTCAATTCCTTACGATCTGTAAGCACAAGTTTTGTGCTGTCTGGGTTGATGTGCACGTGCCTGGTTTTTCTATGTCATAGAATCATAGAATTGTTAAGGTCGGAAGGGACCTCTAGAGATCCAGTCCAACCCCCCTGCACATGCAGGGTCACCTGGAGCACGTGGCACAGGACTGCGTCCAAGCAGCGGGTTTTCAAGATCTCTAGAGAAGGAGACTCCACAGCCTCTCTGGGCAGCCTGTTCCAGTGCTCTGTCACCCTCACTGTTAAGAAATTTTTCCTTAAGTTCCCGTGGAACTTTTGGTGTTTCAGTTCTGAGGTATTAGCCTATAGCCATGCTTGACGTGGCTTTAGAGAGAACATTTGGGAAGTTAAACATCTTAAAAGCAGTATTTCGACTGAGCATATGCTCAATATATGTAGTGCCCAGTGCTTATAACATGTTCAGGTTTCGTGTGATTTTCGTGAGTTGGGCAAAGCAGAACTCTGTGGTGCTATAGCCATCTCAGCCCAAAATTCCACATCCTGCTCAAGGTATGGAAGCACTGTCAGTGTACAAAGAACAGACACGGCGACCCCCCAGGCAAAAGCTATTTAAAAACAAGGGAAAAAAGAAAATCGCTACTGTAGTTCCAATGAAAAAATGTATCCTGAAATATGCAGCATGGAAAAAATCTAGAAAACCTATTCATTCACTTAGGCTCAGTACTCGGCACGTTCCTATATGGTGAGAATCGCCGTAGAAGGCGTTTCTAGCTGTTTCATATATATCATACCCAGTGCTGTGTTGCTAGCGCACACAGCCTGCGGATGCTTCTAGAAAGTGCAGGTAACTCCCCACCTTCCCCAGTTGAATAAATAACTCTGGTTACATTAAAAATAGTATACAGTGAATGGAAAGTTGAGGTCAAAAATCTGATGCCCAAAAACTTTAAAATCCCGAACGTTATCTATTCCAGGTATAAAGTTTTTTTCCTGAAATTTCCTATTCTCTTTTCTTTGAATCTTATGAGATCCATAAAAAACCAGACACTTTTCTGAAAGAGCTGATTAAATTTCAAATAGTTTTTTAAAATAAAAGGAAATATGAAAATGATTACTGTTGATGACCAGAGCTGATTGTAGTTCTTCTGCAGTGACATATGTGATTCATGAGCAGTATGGTCATTTCAGATTTCTAGCATTATATCTTTGTAACCCTATATTTCGAAAGTGTTTTTTTTCTTTAAAATTTTGTATCTGAAAGTATATGCTTGTGTTTTCTACACAAATATAACAAAATATGCTTTTGTTTTGTATACATATATATACATTATTATATATATTATTATAATTATATATATTTTCATATACGTATATATACACACATATATACATATCTATATATATATACACACATATACATACATATAACTGGTGTATGAGAGTTGTTTCCATTTTGCAAAGGAATTGCTCCTGTTTTCAAGGTAGTGCTTTTTTAACATAGGGCTTAATTGTAGGTTAAAAATTGTGTTATGTACTGTATTGAAATATGTATGTATGCCTATATATATATGGAGGCCTGTTGTACTATTAATTATAATCAAGAGAATATGCATGACCACGCCATAAACTTAAACACAGAACAGTTTTGAAAGTGAGCAAGATGGGACACACAAAAGGGAGGATTCCAGTCACGGGAGCACGTCAGTCGCACGTGCACCGCGTTATAATGCTGTGGGAAGCGATGATAAAATCCTGCTTGGAATGAGGATTCAACCCTTGCATGCTATACTGCATGTATACTGCATGTAATGGATTGAGTGGTGGATCATCTGGAAGAGGGTAGGTTGGCTAAAATTGAGATGCAGAGAAATCTGGATTCTTTCCTCCTCCCTTACAGATTTCCAGATTTTATATAATCTCACATTGCTTTGCTTCCACATTTGTGAAATTGATAGGAAACCATCCTAGGCCCATCCAGAATTTTGTTGGTATTTTGTTACTAATGGAGTAGTCTGTTGATGTAGTATTATGGGTCCTCAGAAAGCATATAGAGAAAGGAGTTTCTTTGCTTTTTCTTTATTTTTATTTAGTGCGCTGTTTGCCTGGAGTATTTCTGGAGTATTTCCAGAATATTACTGCAGAAATCCTCCTTCTCATCATTTCAGCACAATGTGCAGACAACCTCTAAGTCCATTTTGACATGCCTGTGCTGAACTGCTAAATGCTGTTGACCTGTCATCTCCTGTGGGAAAACACCTTCGTTCCCTGGGGTGATGGGGGTTTTGTTTCTTTGTTTTTGTCTGTTTATTTTTCTGTTAGGTTTTTTTTTTTCTTTAAGCAAGTTGTTCATTCTATATGCAAAAGAGGAATTACTTATAAATACCTACAGGGCTCTTAAGTTACATAGTTAAACCATTTTCTTTTAAATATCTCTTTGCTCTGGTGCCTATCAAATGCTTGCCAGTCATTAGACAGCTAATGTGCTGTGACGGCTGCTTATTACACTAATCGTAATTAGCACACTGATTTCCTAAGCCCTATATGTTGTCCTGTGCTTGGGACTCTGGTGGTCTTTTTGGGAGGTTTGCAGTCCTTGTAGGTGCTGCAGCTGTGGGTCCTTGCAGCAGGGCCAGGAGCTGTTCCTGCAGCAGCGACTGATAGATAAGAATCTGAATGAGGTCACTGGAGTTGTTAAAGAACCAGTCAACTTTTAGTGGGATTTGGCATTGGTTCTAGATGAGGAGCGAGGCTGTACGTCCGTGAAACAACAATTCTGAGTTTGAGAAATGCACTGAGCATCTGGATTTGCACAGAGATTAAACTTTGCCACTCGAATGGAAAAGAAGCTGTGTCTTAAAACCTGAGGGGTATCTAGCTCTCATAGTGGCTCTGTGCTGAATATTTGATTTCATCCTGAATGAGAAGAGACATGTGGCAAAGAGATTATTCTTTGAACCACGTGTGATCATGAGTAAAAAGAAAAGCAAGTATAGAGAGTGTGCACAGGAGGGGCAGGAAACAGCTTTAATATTCATTGAGTTCCTTGTGAAATAGCCTGATATGTGGTTTTACCTGTTCGGTTTTTGGTGGAATCGGGCAGTAGAATTATACATGCTCTTCTATGTGAAAGTGCCATTACTTTACAGGCTTTGTTAACTTATTTAGTTTTTCTTAACTTTCACTAAAAGTTTGAAATTCTTCTTAAGACAGGCGCTCTGTGTCCATATACAATAGTATTTCTTGCTGTGGGAATAGCGTTGTATCATTTAATACAGCACAGTTTGCCAGGTCTGTGTGCTTTTTAGGGGCTTTCTGAGTTTGTATTCTCATATGGAGGAGTGTTGTGCTGTTGCTCCTGTAAACCTTGGAACCAGGAGTTTTTAGTGATGTGGGGGAATTAGCTTGGTTTCAGCAGTGTAAGATATGCGGGTCATCTGGGCTGAAATAAAGTAAAAAACTTCAGCAGCTTTTTGCTAATACGTTACCTTTTTCCTTTAAACCCACAAATTCCAATATTTCCAACAGATCCCCTGTCAGCAGCTTACAGATTCGCTACGATCAGTCAGGGAACAGCTGTGGGGAAAACTTGCCCCCAGTCGCATCCAGCATCGAGCAGCTGCTGGAGAGGCAGTGGAGTGAAGGGCAGCAGTTTCTCCTGGAACAAGGCACCCCTAGTGACAGTAAGTACCGTCTCTTCTGCTGCTGCTTGTCAATGGTTGTCCAAGACTTTCTAAAGACTTATTTTCTGTTCTGAATGAAATACAATTGTAATATAGTTACGCAGTTGTTAGTGCAGCATTTGGCCTTGGTAGAGCGTAAGAGTTCTCAGTCGTTACCTCTGTCTTTATAGATGGGGAAATTGTGTCATGCGAGAGGAGGTACCTTGTGGATCGAGCTGGTTGGCTGTGGAATTTGCAAGTGAATTCTGGGGTCTTAGCTCCACTGCCATAAACCTCCCCAGCTCTCATAAACCAGTGATGAGCACAGTTCTTCATTTTGGCTTTACAGCATATGTGGGTTGCCATAATGTTTCATTATTGCATTATTTTTGATATTTTAAGTCTAAAGTGCCTCTTTCTGTAGTTTAAAAACAAACAAGCAAACATCCAAACTCATTATTCTTACTGATGTTGGCTGTGTCCTCCTCTGCTTTTGTGTCTGGGTTAT